TCTCAAAATCCATAAAGCATCTCCGGGTATTGCAGTGATTCGATGCGATATACTCATAGGGCATAACCGACGATGTCTATTTCTCAGTGTTAATTTAAAGTGAATTCATTCACAAAATGTCAGTACTTCAACTCATGATAGGCATCAGATCACTAGCAACACATCTGACAAGTGATGGTGACACGCTTCTATGGCACTACATAGCTGAGAACTGTGAATCTCACATACATGCACCTCTTTTGTATTTCGAGAGTAAAGCTGTCTTCCAGACTTAATCCCAGTTTCTATTTAGTGCAGCACTTGACTTTGAGAATTTTTTTGTAGGGTAGGTGCTCACGGAAGTCCAAATATCAGGCATCGGTGAGGGACAGGTCGTGCTGGGTCAATGCGAGGTGCGGGATGGGAATTTCTGGGTGAAGAGATATTGCATGAGGCCCGGCTATGAGGACATGGTCCCGGCGGCGGGCTCGAGGCGAGGAGCCGGGCAGGCTCGGCCTGTGAGCGCCGCGAGGAGGCCCTCGGGCCCGCCCGCCGGCCGGCGCTCACTTGCAGCACCACCTCTACGTCGTACGAGTTCCCCTTGCTCTTCTGGTGGCCGCGGAACTTGGAGCCGCTGTAGAGCAGGCTGGTGGCCACGCCGGGCTGCTGCGTGTTGATGGGCGGCGGAGGGATGAGCGAGGCCGCGGAGGCGACCGAGGCACCGGCCGGCGGGGGACACTCAGTGCGGACCGGCATCGCGGGGTCCCCCGGAACCAGGGCTGGGGGAGGGGAGAGGAACCGCCGCCGCCGCGCGGGAGCCGAGGAGGTCGTGGGGAGGGAGGGGCCGGCGCGCACGCGCTGGCTTGGGGCGGGAGCGGCTCACCACCCGCCCGCGGCCTGCGGACCAACCGCTCCGACCGCCACCGGGACCCCGGGACCTGTGAGCGGGGCCCGCCGGTCTGGAGTTGAGTCCCCTTCCCCACTTGCGCGCGCGCTCGTGCGCGCGCCCGTACATACACACTCACTCACACACACACACTCACTCACTCACTCACACACTCTCACACACACACAAACACACTACCCCTCCCGATTGGCCCGGTAGCGCCTGGGGGGCGGGAGCAGGCTGAGGCGGTGCTTCCACCCATTGGTGAGCAAAGAGAACACGTGATGCGGTGTGCGAGGCGCCCTCTGGGACTTGGAGTCTTCTTCCAGAGCGCGGCTCGAGGGGGGTGGGGCAAGGTGCTTTCGTGCTGCTGATTGACTGCGGGCGTGCGCGGCAGGCGCTCGGGAGTGACGGCGCGGCGCCCGCGACCTGCGGAAGATGGCGGCGTCCACGGGAGTCTGAGGGCTCTGAGGAGGCGGAGGGAGGTTTCCGAACAGCCAGAGCGTGCAGCTTGCGGATCCTTTCGCTCTGTTTCCTGCTCTCAGGTTTCGCACCAGTTGTGCCCCCATGCGCTCCGGCGCGATGTGGAGGAGCAGCCTCTGCCTGCGGGATGGGTGGCGCCGTCTCCTGAACCGACCCTCCGGTGGTCCCACGGCCTCCGTGGGGAAGGGGGCAAACGTCCCGTTCCCATTCCGGGCCTACGCTCCCCCGGCGGGTAAGGGAGGCCAGGGCACGTCCCGCTTTGGCCAGGGGCCGAGCGGGCGCAGGTGGGCTGAGAGGCTCTGACGTGCCGGGCGGGGCCCCCGAGGCAGGGCTCAGGCTCGCGGGGGTCCTGGGCCGTCGGCCCTGTTAGACCGCGAGGGCCCCAGACGAGGGCCGGGACCCCGAGGGTGCGCATCGCTCACGTCCCTTCAGGGCAGGAGCCAGGAGTTGGCCTGGGGCAGTGCGGTGTTTCCGGAAGTGTGTGCTCTCTTCTCGACTAGGGAAGCAGAGCTATCCCGGTTTCCAGACGGAAACGGGGAGTTGGGTGCTGCGTCAGGACCGCCCCAAGGTCACAGCAGCCGCAGGTCAGCGGAGGCCGAGCCGGAGGGCGCTCCCTGCCCGCCCAGCCCTGCCCCCTCTGCCGAGGCGGCGCTGCGACCTCGGGCCCCTGCACTCTGACTGCTGAGGCCTGGAAGGCAGTGGCTCTCCCTGCTTCTGCGGAGGGGCTTCAGGGGTGAGCGAAGAGAGTGGCTCTCCTGCATGCGGTTAGGTTTTCTGCGCCGAGGGCAGGAGGCCCAGCGAGCCTCGAGGCAGACCTCAGTTGTCACGTGCAGCTGATCGCAGCCGCGTTAAGTGGAAGCTTGTAGGCCCTGTGGTGAGGGAGGTGCGGGAAGCGGTGCGGACACAGAGCTCCTACTCCCGCCCTGGGGTGTCTAGAAAGGGCCTTGGGCTTTGAAAGAACCTGTGACCCCAGAGTTGGTAGGTGAGTAGGAGCTGGTGCGGGAGGGAAAGGGCGGGCCGTGGGGGCGAGGGCCTTGCTGTGACGCTGCACTTCCGAAGGCGAAGGCTGCAGCACGTGGCTGGGCAGGGCGCAAGCCGGCTGGTGCTGTGTGGTCTTTGGCCTCATTTTCTTATGTGAGTCGAAGGACTCGGTTGCCTCTGAGGGTCCTTCTTTTAGCTCCATAACTTTATACAAATGTCGGATGCAGCTGGGAGCTGAGGTGTCACCTTTCAGGGCCCAGGTGAAGGGTATGGAGGTAGGCCATGAAGAGGAAGAAGGAAGGGCATCTGTGATCATTGTGACCTTATAATAAGAAAGGATGTCTATAGTTCCTGGCACACAGCTCCTTAAAAGCCAAGAGAGGGATCTTTTGCTAAAAATCCGTTGGGTCTTTTGTCCTCAAAGGAAGCTCCAGAGTGAGAAAAGATGACAGGAAGTGTCTGTCAGCCACACCCGAGCTGATGTCAGTGAGGTTGACCTTTAGGAAATCCCTAAGGATGGGGACTGGTTGCCATGGGAACCAACCATGTGCTAAGAAGGTTGAACTTTCAGCCCTATCCTCTGACCTCCAGGAAGGAAGAGGGGCTAGAGATTGACTTGATCATTAATGGCCTGTATGCCTACTTAATGAAGCTTCCCTAAAATCCCCGAGCGATGGGTTCTGAGAGGTTCGGAGAGCTTCTGGGGTGGTGAACATGCAGAGATGCCGGGAGCGTGGCATGTCCAGAAAGGGCTTGGAAGCTCCTCACCCCTTCCCAGGTACCTTCCCTTACGCATTTCTTCCATCTGGCCATTCCTGAGTCATATCCTTTTATAGTAAATCTTTAATCTGGTAAGTGAAATGTTTTCCTGAACTTTGTGAGCTGTTCTAGCATTTAATCAAACCTGAGGAGGCATCATTGGAACCTCCAATTTATAGCCGGTTGGCTTGGTCAGAAGCACAGGAATCTGAAGGGGTCGGGTGGGGTGGGCAGTCTTGTGGAATTCAACCATTAACATGTAGGATCGATACTAACTCCCAAGTGGATAGTGTCGGAACTTAATTGAACTGTAGGACTCCCAGGTGGTGTTGCAGAGTTGGTTGGTGGGAAAACCCCACACATTTGGAATGTCTGTGTGAGTGTGTAGAGGAAAATGGAAGGTGAGGTGAGGGTTAATTGAGGTTAGTGGATGCCACTTCCCATTATGGTGGTACTTCATCTGCCATCTCCTTTTCTGCCATCTCCTTTTCCTTTATTATTATTATTTTTTAGAGAATTTTTTTTCCAATTGATTTGTGTGTGTGTGTGAGAGAGAGAGAGAGAGAGAGAGAGAGAGACATCAATTTGTTTCCACTTATTTATGCATTCATTGGTTGATTCTTGTATGTGCCCTGGCCAGGGACTGAGAGAGAGAGAGAGACATCAATTTGTTTCCACTTATTTATGCATTCATTGGTTGATTCTTGTATGTGCCCTGGCCAGGGACTGAACCCACAACCTTGGCATATTGGGACGACACTAACCAACTAAGCCACCCAGCCAGGGCTCCGTTTCCTTTCTACTGCAGATTTACTAGTTTGGGCTCTTGGAAGTACTTGGCACATGGTAGGTAGTCAACTGTGGAAGGAAATATGAATGAAAGAGCTAATAAAGCACAGTGGGAGGGAGATATGTGAACCAGGCCTATGAGTGATCTACAGAGACTTTGCCAGTGGTGAGATTCTGAGAGTCTTTGGAATGGCAGAAGGTTAAATCCAAAAGGGGCCTTGATGAAGATTTCAACTGGCAGGTAGATTGACCTTGGCCTCTTAGGAATGGCCATGTCATTGAAGTTGGTCAGAAGGAAAGAGGGGGTTAAGCAAGGGTGGCTTGGGTGTTAGAGGAGATGCTGCAATAAGGAGACCTGTGTGAGGCTGTACCAGCTGCATGGAAGGGAAGGTGTTCTAGAGAGGCAGCATGTGTGGCTGTGCAAACGCCCAGTGAAGTCAAGGTTAGAAGTCTTGTCTGCTCCGTCTGCAGGTTTTCTGTCACCTGGACAAGTCATTTAGCTCCTCAGAGTCTACCACCTCAGAGGCATCTTTCTCATGGTTGTGGTAGATTGAGGGAGAATCTGAAGATAAGGCATCCAGCCTGCCACCTGTTTTCGTATTAAAGATTTATTGGCACACAGCTACACTTTCATTTACATATTGTCTGGGGCTACTTTCACTACAGTAGCAGAGTTGAGTAGTTACAACAGACTGAATGGCCTGCAAAGTCTAAAATATTTACTATTTAGCTCATTACAGAAAAAAAATTGCCAGCCTCTGCTCTAGATGCTACAACAATTTGGAAAAAGTGTGTTTAGTCATTTAGCCCATTTACATTAATTGCTATGGCAGATACATTCGGCCTGAAGAATTTTATAATAGATTTAGTGAGGTATAATTCAGCTATTCTTCACTTATTTAAAGTGTACAATTACATCGTTTTTAGTATAGTCACAGAATTATGCAACCATCACCACAGTCAATTCTAGAACATTTTTATTATCTCAAAAAGAAATCCTGTGCCCTTCCGCTGTCACCCTCCCATTGTCTCCTCCAGCTGTAGGCAGCCACTAGTTTCTGTTTCTATAGGTTTCCCTATTTTGAACATTTTATATAAATGGAGTGTGGTCTTTTTTGACTGGCTTTTTCCCCCCACTTAGAATGTTTTCAAGGTTTATCTAAGTTGAAGCATGTATCAGTACTCTGTTCTTTTTCATTGCTGAATAATATTCCATCTTATTTATCCATTCATCTATCGAGGAACATTTGAGTTGTTTCCATCTTTTGACTGTCTTGCATAATGTTGCTATAAACATTCTTGTACAAGTTTTTATATGGGCATATGTTTCCATCCCTCATATATCCAAAAGTACAATTTTTGGGTCAAATGGTAACCGTTTCACCTTTTGAGGAACTAACACACTGCTTTCCAAGGTGGCTGCACCATTTTATATTTCCACCAGCAGTGCATGAAAGTCCCAATTCTCCACATCCTCGCAGCACTTGTTATTATCTGCCTTTTTTATTATAGCCATCCTGGTTTTGATTTGCATTTCCCTGGTGGTGAATGATGTTGAGCCTATTTTTATGTGCTTATTGGGCATTTGTATATTTTCTTTGGAGAAATATCTATTCAGATCCTTTGACCATTTTTAATTGGGTTATTTGTCTTTTTATTGTTGAGTTGTAAGAGTTCTTTATATTGTTGGCCTGAAAAATTTTGATACCAGAAACAGTTGGTCAGATCAGAGCCCCCTCTCCTTCCATTGTGAATGGAGGCATATCCCTAGAGAGAATTTCAGTTTTAAGGCTTAAGCCCCGCCAGATGGCACTGTTTAAAAAGATTCTTGGTGCACAGCGGGAGTTGTAGTTCTGAGGTTTTGAGTCCTTACAAAGCAAAGGCCAGCGCGGTAATTGGGGCTGATAGAAAGATCATTTACTGGTCCATGAAGCCTAGGACAGGAGGAGCAGTGTAGGGGCAAGTGACACAGAAAATAGCCCGTTTTTTTATATGGAGTGAAGCAACTTCACAGGAACTGGGACCCAATGGACATTAATTTCCAATTCAGCACTCTTCACAGGAGCATGTTTTCTTATTAACTTCTCTCTGCTTGTATAGCCTGTTTTCTTGTGGTCAGCTTTTTAAAGTCAACACTTCTTTACATACCCATTTCTTTGTATCTACATAGTCCACAAAATTGTCTCTTAAAAGCCACTGGGTGTGTTTTTTGCCACAAAAACAGATGTTCTGTAAAGGGAGTGATTCATACTCAAAAGAGACCCAAGTTCTATGTGCTCCTGCAAGGTTAGGCTGTTTCTGCACCTTTAAAGGTGGTGCTCCTGTTGCTGTCGGCTGGCCCTGTATTCATGAGACTCGGGAGGCTCATAGGCTTCTCAGGGCTTCGTGATGTCTTATGTGCCCTTGAGCTATCACCCTCCCATTGTCTCCTCCAGCTGTGACAAGACCCCTTCCAGTTTTTTCTTCCTCTTATGTGACCCAAGACCTTTGAGAGCCCAGGTGAAGAACCTTCATCTTCTGTCATTGTTGGGGAGCATGACTCCCGCCAGTGAATTTTCCAGATCATATTTGCCTATGAGAACTCCATACCTGACTCCCTCTGTCCTCCTTACTGTAACCTACCCCCTCTGGGCATCTGCTGGATAGCTACAGTCTTCTCCTGACCCTCTTTCTAGTTCCTCAGAACTCTGTGCTCTCTTGAGGCCCCAGACTTTTGTGTAAGCTGTTTCCTTTCCTGGAAACTCTTTCATACACACCCTCCAAAAATGAATCCATCAATGCAGATGGACTAACGCCTTCCTCTGCAGGTCCCAGATGGAGCTGACTGCTGGGAGCTCTTCCTTTAGCCCACAAGGGGACGGAGCTCCCCCAACGTGTGTCTCTGTTCCTTGACTTTGGCCATCATGTCCCTTTATTGTTTGGCTGGTTTAGTGTCTGTCTTCCTGCAGGAGAGTTAGTCCCTCTAGGGTGGGGTGAACTTTGAGTCCTATTGCCAGGACTTATCACACTTCCTAGAAAGGGATTCATACTCACCAAAGTTTATTTCAAAACTTCCAAGCCTGCTCCATTCAGGAGAACACCTGTCTAAACGTCCGCACATGAGCCCAGCAGCCTTTGAGCTCCTTTTGCCAGTTGTTATCTCTTGGTTTTCTCCTGTTTTGAGCAATTTTGGTTGCCCCTTCCTTGGCCCTGCATCCATCCCACTCCCTTCCAGTTTTTTCTTCCTCTTAACAGATAAAGAAGTGGGCCTGGCCAGGGCAGAGGAGCTAAGGCCTGGCTTGCAAAGCAGGAAAAAAAACAACAAAACAAGAGACTTCCCTCGTGGGAAAGAAACCCTGCTGTCCTGGCTATCTTTGGATGCTGCAGCCTGTGCTGTCAAGAGTCCATTCCTTGGCCCCCGGGTCTCCTGGACCCATTTCCCAGGGCTGTGTGGTGCAGTGTGCTAGAATGCTCTCCGTTGACACTTCCTGCTCAGGGGAGGATCCCCACCCACACCCCAGTGATGAGTCAGAGCCTTCAAAGCTCTTCCCACTTCCTGCTTGGCCTGGCTGTAGACATGCTGCCCAGCCCAGACATTGGAGAGCATCCTGGCTGTCATCTGGATGCCTTGATCCAGACCTCCAGGCACACACAAGGAGCCTCCAGACGCTCGCACCTGCCATCTGAGTGTGACTGGCAGCCTGTACAGTAAGGAAATGTAAGCGCAGCAGGGTGGGGGTAAGCCTCCGCTGTTGGTGTCAGCTGTGTGAGAGACTCAGTATTATAATTCAGATGAAGATGGTAAATTGTGCTATAATAATGTAGCATCATCTCGGTTGTCAGATCTGATCACTTTAAAAAGAAAATTTGAACTCTATGAAGACATGGATTTTTGTTTCATTCACTGTTTTATCCAAAGTACCTAGAAGAGTACCTGGTGGCATAAATATATTTTGTGGGAAACCAGTTTGGGTCTTATTTTAGTAAGTGCAACCATGGGAATATAATTTCCATGTGTAAGCATTAATGATAGCAAGTGAGATTCATGAAAAAAAAATATGTTGTGCAAAACATAAAAATATAATGTTTGTAGTAAGACCAGATACTCTCTTTTCATTCCTTGCTACATAAACCAAGTTTTGTTTTCATAGTCTATTTGAATTAATAAAACTTCAACTGAGCTTGACCAGTGTGGCTTGGTGGTTGAGCGTCAATCTATGAACCAGGAGGTCATGGTTCAATTTCCGGTCAGGGCACATGCCTGGGTTGTGGGCTCCAACCCTAGTAGGGGGCTGCAGGAGGTGGCCGATAGATGGTTCTCTCTCATCATTGATGTTTCTGTCTCTCTCTTTCCCTTCCTCTCTGAAATCAATAAAAATACATTTTTTAAGAATTAAAAGAACTCAGAAAGCTTTAAAAACTAATGAATCTCCTTTTCCTTCACGTGCTACATCATCATTTTCAATAACTGACTTTAGTCAGACTCTGAAGGCTTTAGGTACCTGATGAATATGTGAAAGAACAGACACATGAATGAATGAATGAATGAATGATTGATTTTGTTTATCACAGATGGTAAGGACTGGGTTATGGTTTATAATTTCCAAAATGTGACCTATTTGTTCTTTATTAATTGAAGGAATCTGCATAATTCCTGAGGCAGTACTCTTGGTTTTTAATCCCCCCAGGTGAAAGAGGAGAATGTGTTTATATTTTCATGTAAGATTTTATTCAAGTTATTTTCAGAAGAACAGGACACAGATTTTTCCTTCCTAAAGGAAATGTTTGGAGTTCCTGTTGAATACACAGGCAAAGCTGGTTAATTAGGTTAATTAATTAGTATAGGGGATGGGAAATGCTCCTGGGATCTCTGCTTACTGCTTGTGCATCACAGGCATGCATACGCACATCACGTTCACCCTGGCTTTCCACTCCTGCCTTGAATGGGTCTCTGGCTTTATCACACTCAGGCACCATCTTTAGATTTGGGCACATTGTGCTGGCACGGGCCAGCACTAGTGGGGATGGTGTGGGAGGAACATGCTTAGAAGTTAGAGCAGAAGGTGCTGGAAAAGTCTTCCGGGTCATACTGTCTTGCAGGCTCATGATACTGCGTGATCAGACTATCCCTGGGCTGCCGGGAGCTTGACCAGTTGTCCCGTTCCTCCCTTCTCCCTGGAGAGTGAACCACCAGCTTTAATCAGAAGCTGTTGATTATGCGGCAGACCTTGACTAGTGATATGACAATCAAGCCAATCAGTCAGCATTAGCAAGCTGGTCTTGTTGCTTCCTGAGCTTTCTCGACATGATTATAACTGCCTTTTTGAAAAATCTTTCTCACAGAAAGGAAGAGATTCTATCAGAATGTCACCATCACACAGGGTGAAGGTGAGTGTCTGAAATTTTGACTGCGCCCCCCCCCCCCCCCCCCCCCCCCCCCGTGGATGGGTAGAAACATTTTTCATCTCCAGCCAGTTGGGTGGTTGAGATGACCCTTCGCACTTTTGTCGGATATGTTTCTGTAAGCCCTCCACCGAGGGACTCGGGGTTGTCTTTGTCTGCATCAGTTCAAGTAGCTAAATATAGAATGGTCACTTGATTCCACTTAACAGTCCCTGAGAGGTTTTCATTTGATCTTTCAAGGCGGCTTTGAGATAAACCTGGACCACAGGAAGCTGAAAACTCCCCAAGCCAAGCTCTTTACTGTCCCCAGTGAGGCCCTGGCCATCGCAGTGGCCACTGAGTGGGACTCCCAGCAGGACACCATCAAGTTCTACACCATGCATCTGGTAACAAGTTCACACACCTATACTCCGATGCCTGCTGTTGGCTTTCTAGGCACCTGGCAAAACTTGGGAGACTCCTACCCAAATTGCAGTAAAGCCCTTGGGGATGCAAAAAAGCCTGCAGCATCACTTGCCCCCTCGGATGTGCCAAACATTCCCCCCCGTGGCCTGGCCACCTGCACTTCCTGCTCAGAGCGCTGTGCTGGCTGGCGGGCCGCTCCTCTGGGCTCAGGCAGATGTGCCCCGCTAACTGCCCAGCTGTCTTACTTTCTGTCATGCAGCTGGGCTTTGTTCCGTCAGCAGCACAGTGTGTAATGTTTGCACTGTGGGTAGCACAGACGGGCAGGCCCATGTCTGTCTGACTAGTGTTGTGAAGTTACGTTGGCAGTCAGTATTGGTTTGGGTTCAAGAACCCAAGGGGCAGGTGGGTGAGGTGAGGAACCCCCATGGAGCAGCCGCCATTCACACAGGGTGGCTCACGGAGGCACTAGAGCAGTGAGGAAAGGTCAGCTAGACTGGGCTCAGGCCCTGCAGCTTCCAAACTAACCTTGGGCAAGTTACTGCCCCTTTTCAGCCCCATTGTTCGCCATCTGGGAGAGGCGGGTGATAACAGTACCCACTCATGGCGTAGTGGTCAGATGGGTGAGCTGACCCATGGAAAGGCCTGGGTGTGGTCCCTGGCACCTACAGAGAGAGCTTGCAGTCCACACTGGAGTTGGTGCTATCATCCTGCCCCCACGGGCTCGGCCTGCATACCAGCACGCTTCCTCAACACCTTCACAGCCTGCTGCGTGCTGGCTGCTCCTTTGACTGTCGGATGACATAGGGTGATGGGGCTACAAGTTAATGGTAGAGTACCTAAGCAGCCTGCTGTCGACAGGGCCAGTCTGGAAAATAATCCTGTTCTGGTTTGGCTGAGTTGTTCCCCTGCTTCCTGAGGTGTGAATGGAGCCAGCTGGTACGTTTTTCAGTCAGATTTGAATTCTAGTAATACTTATGTGTCTTATGTACTGAATTTGACCTCTCTGGGACTCCATTTCCACATCTCTGAAGTGGGTATAATGGTACCTACCAAAGGGTTGTTGTGAGGATTCAATTGAATGCAGCAGAGTCTGGTAGAAAAGAGTATGAGACCTTGGGAAGTGCACTAATCCTAGGGCCTCTGTGAACATTCTGTGAGTCCCATGAGCTATCACACAGCGCTCTGCTGGCACGGAACCTGGCTGTAGCAAGCTCTCACTAGATGTGCTGCAGCTGAGGCTTTGGGTCGAAGGTTTTGGCTTGGCACTGCTCCTTGCTGGGTGTCGCTGGCTGGTTCTGTGTGATGCTGTGGTTGAACACGGTGTCCTCGGGAATGCAGTGCTTTGCCTGGGCCCAGTGGGTGGTGACAGGGCTCTCTGCCTTTTGATTCAGACCACATTGTGCAACACGTCTTTAGACAACCCAACGCAACGAAACAAGGACCAGCTGATCCGGGCAGCTGTGAAGTTTCTGGACACCGATACCATCTGGTAATTGATGTTTAGATGAGCGTTCCTCTTGGACCTAGTGAGTTCCTTGGGCTGTTTTGCTTCATTTACCCAGTTATCAGTAGAAGAAGAGGCAGGCCCTTTTCCTTTACCTCACTGGGCAGGGAGAGCAAGCTAGTTGACATCAGCACTCAGCTGCTCTGCAAACCCCGAGGAAGGGGAGCTCCTGGCTGCGGCAGTGTCGGAGCCTGGGCACAGCTCTCCCACAGCCCACCAGCCATCCCTCGGCTGGAGCGGCGGGTGGGGGAAGGAGGGGAGGGGTGGTGGTGTATGCAGCTCTTGTAGGCTCCAGGACCAAGGGTCACTTGCCAATCCCCAGCAGGGCCTCTGACCCTAGGCTTCTGCCTACCAGCACAATCTCACGTCGGCATCCTTACCATTCACTACTTGTCAGCCTGGACACAGGATGGCCAGATGTTGATATTCAGGAGCTAGCTTCCTCCACTTCTAAATTTTCCCATCCTGTATATATATATATATATATATATATATATATATATATGAATTGATTAACTCAATTTTAGAGGCCAAGCAGCCTCACAACCTGCAAGCTAGAGAATTAAAGCTGGTGGCATAATTCAGTCCGGGTCTAAAGGCCTAAAAAATGTATATACCTACACACACACACACACACACACACACACACGCACACACGCACTCGCGCTCACGCACACAGGTTTATTATAAACAATGACTCACAGGACTCTGGAGCCTGGGTGAACTGGATACCCATGAAAGCTGCCAGCAGGCTTGAGAATGGAATGAGCCAATTTTTAGTCGGAGTCGGAAGGCAAGGAAAGAACTATGTCCCAGTTGAAGGCATCAGGCCGAAGGAGTTCCTTCTCTATGTTCTGTAGCTAATTGGTTGGTGATGCTGAGGGAAGGTGAAGCAGCGCTGAAGCGGCCGAGCTGCACTGTGCCCGCTGGCTGAGTTCTCACAGATGGCAGTGAAGTCAGCAGTGGGGCTGAGGGGGAGCGCCTCCTGGAGAGGCGGCCAGCAGTGCCAGCTTTGAGTTGCTAGTCAGAAAGTCCCCATATGTGTTAGGGGCCATCTGATTGCAGGGAACAGAAAGCCATTCAACTTAAAAGGGTTTTCTTAAAAACCATACAGGGGTCCTGATAGGAAATGAAGGACAGTTGGTCACCTGGTATGGAGCTGGAAGATTGGCTACCGGAGTTCCTCCCTCTGCCTGGGGGGAGAGTCAGCACACCTGTCTGCTCCTCAGCAGCCCAGCTTTGCTTGCACTCTCATGATCTCTCTGCTCCCCTCCGCTCACACCAGACTGGTTTCCACAGTGCCCACTTGGGTTCCTGTCTCATGAAGCCTTGCAGCTAAGCTCCCCTCAGCTGACTCCATCTCTGTGCCTCTTATTCAAAACAAGTAGTATAGCCTGGCATCAAGTGGTGTCAGGCCTCCGTGGCAGCAGCTGCATCTGTAGCCAGGAGGCAAGTGGGCTCATGAAGTCCAAATAGGCAGCTTGGTCTGTGGCCAGGAACACACTCTCTTGGAAGGGGTGCAGGTAGGTAGGGAGGCAGTGACAGTTCCCTGTAGCATTCACGGTCAGCATCCTAGGACTGCGTGGATCTGAGGGTACAGTAGTACTGTTTAGAATGGTACTGACATAGTGCTGCCAGCCTTGACCCATCACATAATTAGGGACATTGAGGACAGTGGTTCTGAAACTCAGGCTCACATTAGAACCCCTAGGCAGTGGTTCTCAACCTTCTGGCCCTTTAAATACAGTTCCTCATGTTGTGACCCAACCATAAAATTATTTTTGTTGCTACTTCATAACTGTAATGTTGCTACTGTTATGAATCGTAATGTAAATATTTGATATGCAGGATGGTCTTAGGCAACCCCTGTGAAAGGGTCGTTCGACCGCCAAAGGAGTCGTGACCCACAGGTTGAGAACTGCTGCCCTAGAGGGTTTGCTAAAACACCTGCAGAGGTTCTGTTTTCTGTAGGTATGAGGTGGGGCCTGAGAATTTGCTCTTAAATTCCCAGATGGTCTGCTACTGGCCCTAAGACCTCACTTTGAGAACCACTGCTTTAGGGGAAAGATTTGTGGGGCAGGGGTGAAGTTCTTTTTGCTGTTGCTTTTTGTGTTTTTGTTGTCTGTCACTGAATGAAGGAATTGTACTTTTTTATTAATGAAGGTGATTTTTGCAATGAATTAGCTACAGGGTGGAAGAGCCAGAGACATTAGTGGAACTTCAAAAGAACGAGTGGGACCCAATCCTAGAATGGGCTGAGAAAAGGTAAGGGCTACTGTCTTGACCCCACAATATTTTGTAAGCTTATGTGGAGTAGTTTTTGGCATAGCTTTTTTCCCCCACAAAAGTGATGTCTGTCAGTCAGTCTGTGTTATTTGTACACATTTTTTGAGTGCCCACTATGTGCCAGGCATCCTTGGATTCTATAGTAAAAGGCATAGAGAGTGTATTAAAGGATCAAGTAAAATGTAACAAATATAGTGCTGTGTAAGAACTATGAGGATACAATGTCACTTTTGTGTCTAATGAAATACAACAATATTTAGGTACCTGGAGATCTTTGTTACAATACAAAATTGTTAGCTTTTTGTGGCAGTTGAGATTTCTTGTTAATAATTTACAGAAAGCCCTAACCAATTTGGCTCAGTGGATAGAGCTTCGGCCTGTGGACTCAAGGGTCCCAGGTTCGATTCCGGTCAAGGGCATGTACCTTGGTTGTGGGCACATCCCCAGTAGAGGGTGTGCAGGAGGCAGCTGATCGATGTCTCTCTCTCATCGATGTTTCCAACTCTCTATTCCTCTCCCTTCCTCTCTGTAAAAAATCAATAAAATATATTTAAAAAATAAAAAATAAAAATAAAAAATTTACAGAAAAACTGGGCCATTTGCTATGTTCCATTGGTACTGTTAGAAATTTCAGAAAGAATATTTCTAAACCAATGGGAAAAATCAGTGATATATGAAAGAAAATACGCTTCCGCTCAAATGGCAGAGTAGGTAAATGTGGTACTTGCATCTTCCCATGACCACATCAAAATTAAAACTAAACTAAAGAACAATCATTGTTGAGAACTACCTGATATTTAGCTGAACAGATGTCCCATAACTAAGGATATACAGAAGAAGCCACATGAGACTGGTAGGACGGGTGGAGATGCAGAACAGGCAGGTCCCACACCCACGTGTGGTGGTTAAAAATCAGGAGGGATATCTCAGCTGTGGAGGTCCCCCCTCAAGAGAGAGGGGTCCCAATCCTACACCATGCTTCCCAGTCCATGGTTCCAGTGCCTGGAAGAGAAGCCCCCATAACCTCTAGCTGTGAAAACCAGCGGGAATTATGGGTGAATGAGGAAAGGTTGTTGGAGTCCCAGGTGTTCCTCTTAAAGGGTCTGTGCACAGACTTATTAGCTCTGAACTCCAGCACTAGGGTAGCAGCTGTGAAAGCAGTTCTCAGTGAGAACTTCAACAGAGAGATAGAAAATATAAAAAAGGACCAGTCAGAAATGAAGAATTACATAACTGAAATGAGGAATACACTAGAAGGAATCAACAGTACAGTAGATGAAGCAGAGGATTGAATCAGTGATTTGAAACATAAGGTAGCAGAAAATACCCAATTAGAACAGCAAAAAGAAAAATGAATACCAAAAAAATGAGGATAGTTTAAGGGGCTTCTGAGTCAACATCAAACGTACCAACATTCACTTCATGAGGGTGCCAGAAGGAGAAGAGAGAAAGGAATTGAAAACCTGTTTTAAAAAATGACAGTTTCACCTAACTTGGTGAAAGAAAAAGATACACAAGTCCAGGAAGCACAGAGTCCCAAACAAGATGAATCCAAGGAGACCCACACGAAGACACGATAATTAAAATGCCAAAGGTTAAAGACAAAGAATCTTAAAAGCAGCAAGAGAAAAACAGTTACCTACAAGGGAGTTCCCTTAAGACTTTCAGTTGATTTCTCAACAAAAACTTAGCAGGCCTGAAGGGATTGGCATGAAATATTCAAAGTGATGAAAAGCAAGGACCTACAACCAAAATTACCCAGCAAAGCTCTCATTTAGAATTGAAATTCAGGTAAAGAGCTTCCCAGATAAGAAAAAAGCTAAAGGAGTTTATCACCACCAAACCAAAATTACAAGTAATGTTAAAGGATCTTCTTTAAGAAGAAAAAAAAAATCAAGAATATGAATAATAAAATGGCAATAAATACATATCTATCAACAATTACTTTAAATGCAAATGGATTCAATAATCCAATCAAAAGACAGAGTGCCTGAATGGATATGAAAGCAAACTCATATATATGCTATCTACAAGAGACTCACTTCAGATAGAAAGATACATACAGACTGCAATAAAGGGATGGGAAAGTTATTCATGACAATGGAAACAAAAGCTAGAATAGCAATACTTATACCAGACAAAATAGACTTTAAAACAAAGGCTACAACAAGAGACAGAGAAAGACTCAGCAATTCCACTTCTGGGTATTTATTTGAAGAAACCCCAAAACATATGCATCTGTATGTTCATTGAAGTATTTACAATAGCTAATAGACAAATGGATAAAGAAGATATGGTACATATATACAGTGAAATACTAGCCATAAAAAAGAATGAAATCTTACCATTTACGACAACATGGATGGACTTACAGGATATGTGCTCAGAGAAAGACACATACCATATAATTTCACTTATATGTGGAATGTAAACAACAAAATAAAACAAACAAAATTTTGATAGTTGTCAAAGGGTTAGGGGCTTGGAGGCTTGGTGAAAAAAATTAAGGGACTAAGAAGCACAAAAAATTGCTCCTTGGCTGGTGTGGTTCAGTGGTTAGAATGTTGGCCATGCACTGAAGGGTCGTGGATTTGATTCCTGGTCAAGGGTTGCAGGTTCAATCCCCGGGCCCAGTTGGGGCTTGTGTGGCAGGCAACCAATCGATGTGTCTCTCTCACATCCATGTTTCTCTCTCTCTCCTCCCATGCCCCCTTCCTCCTTTTCTCTCTCTCTAAAAAGCAATGGAAAAATATTCTCAGGTGAGGATTTAAAAAAAAAGCTCAAATTGGTAGTTACAAAATAGTCATGGGGATATAAAATTTAGCATAGGGAATATAGTCAATAATTTTGTAAATAGTATGTACGGTGCCAGATGGGTACTAAATTGCTTTTATTCCATTATGTTTTTCCTGTATTTTATGTAGTTATGATTGTTCTTGAAAATGTATCATTCTTGAAGCCAGCTCATGTCCCATACAAAAAACAATGCCTTGTATATAGTAGAGGCTTAATAAATATTTGATAAAGTGGTTGAATAATATAGGACCTACACAGATATTATTGTAAGGAAAACAATATTTGAAAGAAATAATTTATGACCTCAATGTGAAAATTGTTTCTTAAAAAGTTTAAAAAGCAGGTAGCCCATGCTTTTGATGGAGATCCTAGGCAGAGAGAATTCCCTGCTGGCACAACTTGCTTACCTGTGCCTCCTTTCGGGGTAATTGCTTTTTTAAAAAATGTATTTTATTTTATTGATTTCAGATAGAGGAAGGGAGAGGGAGAGAGAGACGGAAACATCAATGATGAGAGAGAATCAACTGGCTGCCTCCCTGCGTGCCCCCCACTGGGGATTGAGCCCGCAATCCCAGCATGTGCCCTGACTGGGAATCGGACCATGTCCTCCTGGTCCATGGGTCTGTGCTCAACCACTGAGCAACACTGCCAGGACAGGGCAGTTTCTTGATCCTCTGGCTTTGCTCATGATAGAAATTACTAGGTCAGGAGGTCACTGACCACCATGGTAGTTGCTCCCAGAATCCCCGAGACTGACTTCTTCACCACTTGCCCTCAAGGGGTGCACACCTACTTAGCAGTTTAGGGCTTTGCTTCTGGGCAAAGCTGAAGTGCACAGCAACCAAAGCCTTTCCTTTCAGGTATGGCGTGGAGATTGGCTCTTCCACCAGCATAATGGGGCCCAGCATCCCAGCCAGGACTCGGGAGGTGCTCGTCAGCCACCTGGCATCTTACAACATGTGGGCCCTACAAGGTATGCAGGCATTTCCTAGGCCTGGGGGTGTGGAGGGATCGGCATGGGTGTCCATAGCCGGAGAGTCACAGGAGCGCGCTAGGGGTGGGTCTGACGCTCACTTTTTTGCTCAGTCTGAGGGGACAGCAGGCTCACACCCTTCCAGGAGAAGGTTGGCTTTCTCTTCATAAGTTCAAGTCTCATTGACCCATCCGTGAACCAGTCACTGGGGCAGGGTGGAATGGTTCCAGTCACGTGCCCACCCCAGGTAGGAGCAGAGAAGGGCTCTCGCCTCTTGGAAGAGGAGGAGCATGGATCTAGAGCTGGTCAAGAAGCCCTGTGCCCTGTGACCTGTCTCCCCACCTCTAGGGTGTAGGGACTCACAGGAGTAGGTCTAACAACTGCTCTGTTTCCGGGTGGAGGTGTCCTGGGTCCTGACTTGGCTTGTGTCCCTGAAGGGATTGAGTTCGTCGTGACCCAACTCAAGTCCGTGATGCTGACCTTGGGCCTGATGGACCTGCGCCTGACAGTGGAGCAGGCCGTGCTGCTGTCCCGCCTGGAGGAGGAGTACCAGGTGAGGTTTGCAGCGGCCCAGAGGCGAGCACCTCAAGTCCCCGCTCCCCCCTCCAGATTCAGACTACCTGGGGGGCCGGGGGTAGCTCACCCACTATTTTATTACTTTTGTGTAAATAACAAACTGCAACAGATGATGATAAAATCACGGTGAGCACTGCCACTGCTTCCCAGCGTCGTGCTCAGCTCTCCCTCATTGCCTCACCTCCTCCTCTAAACAACCCGGTCAGGTGGGGGCTGCTGTTATGCCCATTTACACAGGAGGAAACCAAGGAGCCAGAAAATGCTGGAGCCAGGTGACTCCAGGTCCAGGCCTTCACCCCCCACCCTGCAGGTGGCAAATCAAGATCGCTTGGGTCTGGCACACCTGAAAGTGGGCTATTAAAATGGCTGGGAGCCACGTGGTTGCTCTTGGAGACAGCCTTTGTGCCCTGACATCCATACAGGGCGTCTACGTGGCAGGGAGGGCAGCGTGAGCTGCTACTGTGCACGGTGCTGATGTAGTGACGCAGAATTAGGGTCTGTTCTGCTGTCATTTGCTTTTTAATTTTTTTTTTTTTCAGAAAGGTAGGGAGAGGGAGAGAAACATTGATGAGAAAGCAAAACATCGATTGGCTGCCTCCTGTACACCCCCTACTGAGGATTGAGCCCACAACTTGGACATGTGCCCCGACTAGGAATCGAACCAGCAACCCCTCAGTGCACAGGAGGACGCTCAACCAACTGAGTCTCACTGGCCAGGGCTGAATTGTTTTTTTAAATTCTCAACCGAAGACATGTGTACTGATTTTAGAGGAGGCGGAAGGAGAAAGATGTGACAGAGAACATCAATTGGTTGCCTTCCGTACGTGTCCTGACCAGGGATCGAACCTGATATACTGCCGTGCACAGGATGATGCTCTAACCACTGGACACACCGGCCAGAGCAGGGCTTGCATTTGTTTAACTGAGAATTATGACAGTCTTTGCAACCTTTGCTATTGTTATTTCTCCAACTTCCTAAAGTTAATTGCTATTACAAATTGGTTCCTAGCATGATGAAACCCTTTTATAATGGCAGTATTGCTCAAGTCCTTCTGGTCACCTCTTCAGAAAAATGCCTGGGAAAACTGGGTCTGTATCACAAAAGAGGCTGAGTGTTAGAAGCAGTTACGGGGTAGAGAGGCAACCTGTGAGGGTGTGAGGCTGGGCGGGCTCTGAGAGATAGGGAGCCAGGAAACCTGGTTCTTGTCTGGGCTCTGCTTTTGACTGTGGGACCCAAGCCAGGCCGTTGTTTCCTGAACTTCACGTTTGATCTGCCACAAAATGGGAGCGACCTGGATTGCGCTCTCAAAGGAGAGCGTGCTCTTCAGGTGGCTAATCACACTTGTCCAGGTGAGACGAGGAGCCCAGAAGTGCCAAGAGCTGCTGTGGCCGGGCTGACTCTTCTCCGAGAAGGTAGGCGGCTGGGCCAGGCTTCCTGGGCCCTGGCCAGGGAGGAGTCAGCAGGGCGGAGTGCAGCTCTACTGACATCTGGATAGCCACACTGTGTCTAGGGTTTCTCCTGTAGCTTAGAGTCTGGAGAGAGGTCTGCAACCCTGCCCTAGGAGTCACAGATGAAATGACAGTGTGGCCTTGGTTGATGTTTTTCATCCCACTTGCGTGGGGGCCACGTGCAGCCCAGTTGGTGAGGCAGCGCAGGAGAGGATGGCCTTATAGGTTGCCTGCGCCAGCCTCTTTGTGGGAAGACGTGTGAGAGAGGGATGGCACACAGGTGGGCCTCAGGGAAGATGCACGTGGTTTCGGTGCCTGGCCTGCCTAGCAGTGAGTGCCTGCTGGCCCTGGGCCTGGACTTTACCCTCCTAGACCATCCACACCCTGTGGAAGGCGGCGCCTGCTCTGGCCACCTGTGTGTGCTTCCCCCGGCCTCCCCACCAGGTGTGTTGCCTGTTTTGGCAGGATGGGAGCCTGTGGCCCTCAGTCCAGCTGTAGGGTGGTGTGTGGCTCAGGCTTGCAGCAGCTGGGCACTGAGCTGCTCACTCAACATCTCTTGTCCTTTCCTCAGATCCAGAAGTGGGGCCACGTGGAATGGGCCCATGACTATGAGTTGCGGGAGCTCCGGGCACGCACGGCCGCCGGCACCCTCTTTGTCCACCTCTGCTCCGAGAGCACCACGGTCAAGCACAAGCTCCTGCAGGAGTGAGGCGGGCGGTGCGCATGGCACGCCGGGGACAGAGGCTGCGGAGCCCCGGCTCCCAGGCCTGTGGACACATGGCCTGGCCTCCACACGGTGTCGACTGGGGGCCTGAGACAGTGCGGCGGTCTGGAGGTCAGCTTGAGTCCACCCCAGAGCCCCTGCCCCAGCCAGCGAGGGGACAAGGTGTACGATGGCTTTCTCAACCCTGACTGTATTACACATTTCTCCCCCTGGAAAGATGTTGAGCCCTGTTTTCATTTGCGCCTCCACATACCCTCATCTCCTTGTTATACCTGGGGCTCACCTAGATCCTCAGCAGGTTGGTACCTGCCGCCTGTCGTCACCCCGGCCACAAACAGCTCCATGGACTCTGTCTCTGTGGGGCCCTCGACCCTCAGCCCAAAAGCTTTTCCCCGGGTGTTTAGTCAAACGATCTTTGGAAAGTGAGTCCTTTTTGGTCTAAGCTGATTGTTTCTACCTGTTCCTACTATTTCAGGAAAAAAGTAATAATGTACTCTTGAAAGTAGAAATGCCCATTATTTCTGGACGAAGAGACCTGGCGGCCTGGGCAAGGCCCCCTGACGAGCACATGGCTGTCTGCACAGTCCTGGGAGGCGGGGGTGCCACGTGCCAGGGCCCGGGGTGCGGAAGCTGCAGTCCCGTTCAGGAGCACCGGCTTGCTGAGTGGCAAAGGGCCTCACTCCCAGTCCCGGGGCCCTGCCACACGCCAGGTGCTTCGCCACTCCTCTCAGGCTTGTGCTCAGAGAAGGCACGGTCACGCCCGCACTACACCGAGCTCAGGCTGCAGGGGTGACGTGGACGCCCACCTGTGCTCTTCACCTCCGCAGGGTCTCTGCATCCCTGCGGCCAAGCTCTGTCACGCAGCCGCAGCCTCTGCCTTGTGCTGCTGCGCCTCGGCGCTCTGGCTTCCCTCCGCAGCACCCAGAGGAGAGCAGCTCGGCCCACACTGGCGGCCTCCCCTGCAGCCGCAGCCCGCCTGGCCCGGCAGGGGAGTGGCGCACGGCCAGGAGCACAGCCCACAGCAGGCCCTGGGGAATGGCTCTCAGGAAGCGGGCTTACTGCTGCTCATACACAAACGTGAAATTCTGATACCTCTCTAAAGAAGGGAGACTCGGTGACACCGGGCCTTTATTTCTGTCTACATTTGGGAGTTTGTGCAGGGGTGGTGGAAGGATGGCATTGGGGGCTGTGGGCTGAGAATCCCCACTCTCCCCTGGCAGGGCCAAGTGCTGTGTTTTCCGAGGGACTCTCTGGGCAGACACCCCTAATCTAGAATGTCGCCACTGTCGAGGTTGTCCAGTTCATTCTGCATGTGGTCGATGTATTGATTGATCTCCTTCACTCGCTTGCGGTTCCTCATGATCTCATCCTTGTGAATCTGAGGGTGAAACCAAAGCCCAGTTTCCTTGGGTCAGAGAATCGATTAATATCTCACTGAGTCCAGTTTGAGGGAAAGAAAAGTAGTTCTTTGAATTTTGCATAGTTATGTCTCTCATTTACCCCACAGCTCCCTGGGTTCTGCTTAACCCACCTACATGCAGGTGTTCCCCCAAAAGTGTGTACACACTGACTCATTACTCATCCCAGTGGGTAAAATCCGAAAGGAAACAAACACCAATTGAGCTATCAGCTGTTAGAGTGTATACGTTCTGGGACACCCTGCAGTTGAGGTAAGAGAAAAGTGATGAAGCACCGGACCGGGCAACCTGCAGTCTCCAGTGGAGAATTCGGTAGTTTCACTTCCTCGTTTCTTTTCGCAGAGTCCCCGCTCCTCCCTGGCCACGCCACAGGTACTCACCTTGCCCACTAAGTGTGTGCACCAAGAGTTGACTCTGGTCACCAGCTCATCTTCTCGGTTGTCAATCTTGAGAAGGTGGATGTCATGTGATGTCCCAACAGCATTCACAATTGTGTCTTTGTCCACAAAAAGCTGGTGAGCAGAAGATGAAATGAGCAAGTGTGTCTCGTTACTCCCTGAGCAAAGCAGGGAGCAGAGAGGAAGGAGCACCGAGCGTCCGGCTGGTGGGGGCGGTGCTGTGCTGTCATGGAAAAGGGTCAACCAGGGCACGGACTGCAATCCTGGGGAGAAGGCAAAGGCTGCCCAGAGCTGACCTCACTGAGGACATTGGCTCTCACAGTGGTTCCCCCTCGTCGGCCTGGACCCTTGCAGCTCGGGTGGGAAGTGCGAGGCTGCTCTGAGGACGGAAGGCCCTGCCACGTGGCTTCTCCACGCTGTTCACCCTCACCAGCTCCAGCCTGGCCTCGCACGCAGGGTCTCCTGCCTCCTTGCATTCCTGACCTTGTAAAAAGTTGAACCACCCTCCATGAGGCCTGGCTGGTGCTAGGTGTTCACACTGTGGTGCTGTGTGCCTGGCACAGTTGAAAATCAAGTGGCATCCATCGCTCCTCGTTGAATTAGCTCCGACAGCCATGAAAATGAACTCAGCTAGAACCAGACCTCCGAATGGCTCTATGTCAAAGGTTGAAGCAAGATTTCAAAGGGGAAGCCCACCCAACCACATTGCTTTTCCTTACACTCTTGTTATTAACTAAGCCAACGATTAAACTGGGTGGAAGAAATTTTGTTATGTAACACTTTGTTATGAAATATTATAAAATGTAATATTATAAAAAAGAAATTTAAGTGGCATCATTTCCCAGGCAGGGAAGCTGCCAAAGCGCTCAGCAAGCATCGTCCCCTCCCCTGGGAAGGGCAGTACAGTGGGGCCTTGACTTACGAGTTTAATTCGTTCCGTGATGGAGCTCGTAACTCAAATTACTCGTATGTCAAATAAAAAAGTGAATGAGTGAGACACGTGATGCTGGGCTGCTGTTGTGGCGTTCACTGTGATGTTCGCTGCGCCAACTAGCGGTGGGGTATCTGAAGCTGGCTCGTAACCCGAATTTTAGCTCGCAACTCAAAGCAATAAATCGGCCGAGAGACGGCTTGTATCTCAAAAAACTCGGTGGGAGGGTACTTGTTTGTTCTTTTGTATAGTAGAGGTTAAGTTAATAGTCTCCAAAATATGTTCTGTGCAATCTTGAGATGTTCATATTTCTGGAAAAAAACGAGCATTCTTTGGTCAGATACATGTGGGAAGTTTGCACAGCCTGAATTTCACGGTGCACAGAGCTGTCCAGCGGCAGCTCCGGGAAGTCCTGTGGGAAAGAAACTAACTTTCAGTTTTGCAACTTATTTGGCCACAGACTTCTTTTCAGAGTAAAACCTGTTACTATTTCATGGGATGCTGGTTTCCACAGAATCCTGAATGGAGAAGCCACGCTGGCTGATGTGGGGAGTGGGGCCTCTAGGGGCGCAGCTAGCACCGTCGCACAGAAGTGACAAGTGTCATTACATTCTTCCTCTGTGCATAGCAGGTCCCAGGCCAGGCTCTGGGAAGGTGCAGACACATGCCACCTGCCTGCCGTGAGCCTCAGGCAGCGGGCACTGCAGAGGCTGAGCCAGCTGTTCCCAAACCAGCACAGCCCCAGCATCCACCCAAGGTCCTCGTTCTTCATTTTAAACAGTGGGTTACAGCCTTGGCTGGTTTGGCTCAGTGGATAGAGCGTCGGCCTGCGGACTGAAGGGTCCCAGGTTTGATTCCCGGTCAGGGCACATGCCCTCGTTGCGGGCTCAATTCCCAGTAGGGGGCGTGCAGGAGGCAGCCGATCCATGATTCTCATCATTAATGTTTGCCCTCTCCTCTTTGAAATCAATAAAAATATATTCAAAATAAATGAGATTCCCCCCTTCAAAAAAAAGTGGGTTACAGCTGATCTCTTAAGCCAAGCAGAGAAACGTCCTCCCACAAAGTTTGAATATGTAGAAGACTGTTTTGGAAGCTGTGGGAAGTGGAGTCAGCTTGGAATGGATGAGGTAAGGATTGGTTATGAAAAACTGTGACTTTTTAAAATACAAATGAAAGGAATCTGATTTAAGAAATGATTTTAAAATGCAAGTTTCAAGTTGTTTCTGGACTCCAGGTGGCCTAAAATGGTGACGACGTCAGTGTGCCTTCAAAACAGTTCCTGTGGGGAGACTATTGTAGATCCCCTCCCATTTCTCAGGTCAGAAGCCCTGAGGTGGAGCGGCGTGTGCAGAGCCCTTGAGCAGCAGCAGCCACCCTGTCCTGTGGGCCTTGTGGCCATAAAGAACCTCTTCTTTTATTTTTTTTAAATTAAATCTTTATTGTTCAGATTATTACAGTTGTTCCTCTTTTCCCCCCATAGCTCCCCTCCACCCGTTCCCCCCCCCACCCACCATCACCCCCCCCACTGTACTCGTCCATAGGTGCACGATTATTGTCCAGTCTCTTCCCGCATCCCCCACACCCTTTCCCCCCCAAGAATAGTCAGTCCATTCCCTTCCTATGTCCCTGATTCTATTATAATCACCAGTTTATTCTGTTCATCAGATTATTTATTCACTTGATTTTTAGATTCACTTGTTGATAGATGTGTATTTGTTGTTCATAATTTGTATCTTTACCTTTTTCTTCTTCTTCCTCTTCTTAAAGGATACCTTTCAGCATTTCATATAATACTGGTTTGGTGGTGATGAACTCCTTTAGCTTTTTCTTATCTGTGAAGCTCTTTATCTGACCTTCAATTCTGAATGATAGCTTCATCTGGATAAAGAAATCTTGGTTGTAGGTTCTTGGTATTCATCACTTTGAATATTTCTTGCCACTCCCTTCTGGCCTGCAAAGTTTCTGTTGAGAAATCAGCTGACAGTCGTATGGGTACTCCCTTGTAGGTAACTGACTGTCTTTCTCTTGCTGCTTTTAAGATTCTCTCTTTGTCTTTTGCTCTTGGCATTTTAATTATGATGTGTCTTGGTGTGGTCCTCTTTGGATTCCTTTTGTTTGGGGTTCTCTGCGCTTCCTGGACTTGTAAGTCTATTTCTTTCAGCAGGTAGGGGAAGTTTTCTGTCATTATTTCTTCAAAGAGGTTTTCAATATCTTGCTCTCTCTCTTCTTCTGGCACCCCTATAATTCGGATGTTGGTACGCTTGAAGCTGTCCCAAAGGCTCCTTACACTATCTTCATATCTTTGGATTCTTTTTTCATTTTGCTTTTCCAGTTGGGGGTTTTTTGCTTCTTCGTATTTCAAATCTTTGACTTGATTCTTGCGATCCTCTAGTCTGCTGTTGGAACTCTGTATAATATTCTTTATTTCAGTCAGTGTATGCTTAATTTCTAGTTGGGCCTTTATCACAACATCGAGGGTCTCATTAGATTTCTTGAGGGTCTCATTAAGTTTATCAGCGGTTTCTAGAAAATTCTTGAAAAACCTTAAAAGTGTGGTTTTGACCTCTATATCCAGTAGTTTGCTTTCCTCCATTTCTGTCATTTGTGTCCTTTTTCTTTGTCTCCGCATTTTTTATGCTTCGCTGTGTCGATAGAGTGGCTTTCTGTACTAGGTGTCCTATAGGGCCCAGTGGCTCAGCCTCCCCAATTACCTGAGGTAGACACTCTTAGTGCACCCCCCTTGTGGGCTTTGTGCACAGTCTTGTTGTAGTTAAGCCTTGATTGTTGTAGGTAACACTGGGAGGGATTGACCTCCAGGCCAGCTGGCTGTGAGAATCAGCTGTGTCTGCAGTGGGAGAACTTCTGTGCTGGAGACACCCCTCCGGGGCAAGACTTGCTTCATGGGGCTTTGGTGCTCACTGAGTCTGCCCCCTGAGTGTGTCCCTTATGGATCTAAGGAGTTGTAATATGGAGGGTCCCACTCTGACCACTGGGTACACTAGCTCTTGGATCTCTAAGGAGGTGCTAATTTAGCCTCTGCCTGAGGCTACCCAGCAGGAGCTACGGAGTGATCTGCAGATTCCTCTTCCTTGTTTGGGGTTTGGTGGTGCCCAGATGAGGCCCTGCTGTGAAGCTGTGGGCCTTCTTTTGAATGTTCTGGGTCTCTCTGACCCAGTTGCATTTTGTTAGGTAATTTTAGATTGCAAAGAGCCAAGCCATTCATATGCAAAAGCCTCTGCACACAGCTTGGGTGGGGCGGGTGCTCAGGGAATCAACAGGTATGGCTGTTGTATGGAGCAAACAGCTATGGCTGATCCTCAGCCCTGCCCTAAGAGGCCCCAGGTCTCAGTGTCTCATGGTAATGGCTGCAAGCACCTCTGAGAGAAAGCCGCCCTCGAGTTCCGACCGATGCCAAACAGTCCAGTTTCTCCCCGTATGAGTCTGGGTCCCCAGAGACTTGCCCGGAACTGGAGTTCAGAGCAGTCAGGAGCTTGAGACTCCCTCCCGATTGAAAAAGACAACCGCGTCCTCAGTTGCCAGCCCTTTGCGCGTGCGCCTCCGTACCTCTGCACTTTACTTCCGCACCTCCTCTGAGTCTCAGTGTGCTTTTCTCTTTCCTTCTAGTTGTAGAATTTCCACTCAGCCAGCCTTCCTGTGGTTCTGGATGATGTCCGTTTTGTCTTTTAGTTGTATTTTTGAAGTGGTTGTTCGAGGCAGCAATTTCAGGTGCTTACCTATGCCGCCATCTTTGTTTCTCCTCCAAAATATTAATTTTTATTAAAATGTTCTATTATTTTATGTTAACAATGACTCATTTATTTCAGCCCTTTGTATTCAGCATGTCTCTATCGAAATAAACCTACGTTTTTGTGAAAATAGAAGCTTTTGTTTGTTTGCAGCCCACAGAAACTTCCACCTTGTTTATTTGGCCTGTGTTAGCCTTAGCATTTCACATGCTTGGTCTGGAGGGTTAGGATGAACAGCAGGGAAGCCATGAGAGAATGTGTGCAAAAGCACAGAATGCTGTGTGTGGGTTTTCAGAGGTTCTCTGGCCCGGGTGGGAGCAGCCTGCAGGAGGCGTGGTCCAGGCAGAGCCGATGGGGCCTGACTTGGTGGTAACATGGAGGTGGAGAAGCGGAGACACTGGCTGGGATGAACGATGAGGAAACCAACTGCTCCTGACAGGAAGGTATCTGGGCCTGGGCCTTCTCTCGCTGACCGTGGTCTTCCCAGAGACCTGACCCCTGCTGCCCACCCAGCGCCACACCCAGCGCCACACCGGGGAGCGTGGGGCTCAGGCTGACCTGGGCTGTGACGCCATCACTGGCTGTGCTGGGGAAGGGCCGCGAGGAGCTGGACCAGCAATGGCGCGGCTGCTCCCGCCTCAGCAGTGCTTCCCCGCGGAGACTGGAGGGCTAAAGGCCTTTGGGGAGCGGACCTTAGTGCCTATGTGTAGCGCCTCTCCTAGGAAACGCCAGAGGCCCCACAGCTCTCAGGTCGGTGAAACACCTGATTATTATGCGCCTCTAGCTAGGCCCCCCCCCCCCAGGTGTTTGTTAGCCTGTTTCTTCTGCCAAAGGGCATTATTGTTCCCTTTTGCAGATGAGGACACTGAGGCCCCAGCGGTCTCCAGGCTTACTGGAGCCACAGAGCTGGGGTGGGCTCTGCCCGGCCCGGCCCCCAACAAGCCTCCGCCTCCACCACACGCCCGCACCCCAGTCCCACTCACCGCCCGCACGTCCTCAGGCAGGTCCTCGTCGAGCTCGCCCTTGACGACCTTCTCCAGGGTGTTGATGGCGATCTCCAGGAGCTTCTCGTGGTGGTGGTTCTCCAGGTCCCGGCACTGGGCCATGGTGCAGCCGAGAGTTAAGCAAAGGCCGGGTGCAGCGGCGGGCGGCCCGGCCTCGGGCTGGTCATTTTCATTAGATGACAGCAGACTCTTAAGGGCCAAGGGCAAGCGCTGGGGTGCAGTGCACCGTGGCCTTCACAGCTGTCTCCTCATGCGCACCTCAGCCCGGGCCAGCCTGACCCCGTCCCATTCACATCCCTGCTTCTCACTGACCCTGGCCCTGGGCTCCCGAGTGTCCCTCCGCCGCCCACTTCTCTCCATGCCACCGCCTCCGCACCTGTCTGTACACTGAGACCTGGCCGGCGCTCCAGCCCTCCCTCCCGCGCAGCGAGTGGCTAGGGACGCAGGTGCACACCGTCCCTCCTGCGCTCTCGGCTCTCTCTCCAGGAGCCTCCCACTCTCCAGTGTGGCCGAGGGGCCTCCTCTCGGACCCAGAGCTCCGACTCTTCCTCAGGACCTTTGCCTAGGCTGTCTCTCCTGCTGGCTAAGTTCCCCCACAGGCCCACCTGGTCCCTGTGGGGGGCCCTCCCTTGGGAGGCTGCGGCCTGGTCTCTGGGCCAGCTGCTCCACTCACCGCCTCTATAACTTGTGTTTCCTGTGGGACTAGGGGCCCAGGAGGGCAGGACCAGGGGTTACTTCTGGGGTGGACCATAGCCGTTGTCTCACACAGGACAGGGCTCTGAGTGCAGGTGGCAGAAGGGTTGGTCATGCCCAGATGTGGGCTTCTGACCCAGGGACTTAGCCTGCCGGCTCATTATGAGTAATTTGTCAGCGTCTGCAACTTGGAGGTTGTCCCGCCCCCTGGGTGTGTCTACCTGCAACACAGGGAGGGGGGAACTCTGGGGTGTGGTCTGTCCTCGAGTCGTTTGGGAATAACCCTCCAGGACTTCTGTTGCAAACACGGCTCCTCCAACCACACCCAGAACAGCAGCCCTGCTGCAGCTCCTGGAGCAAAGCTGGGGTGGTTCTGGTTGGGGACTCCCCTCCGACCAGGAACACTCAGCGCCCGGTGTGCCACGGCTCCTCCCGTGAAGGGAGCTTTTGTCCTTAGGTGGAGCGTCCCACCGGCAGGTTCCTGTGACGGACGAGAGCGTCCTGGTGGAGGCACAGGCCTTCCCGTCGAGCAGACGGCAGGTGGATTTCCGGCAAACAGCAAGGTGCCACTTTTCTCTCTCTGACGATGCCTGTGGCACTGGTGGCGTGAAGGGCAGGCGCCCGACCCAGGTGCCTCCTGGAAGGGAACCCTACTCGTGGGCATCCTGTCGGGTCTGTGCGGAAGGGGTACCCTTCCCTGCCTTCGTTAAGCTGGAGGCGGGGAGCAGAGTCGTGGCTGGGATAAGCCCCGGGGCCCAGCAGCGCCTCCCATCCACGGTCGCAGAGGAAAGGATATAGGCTTTGGACATTTTCGACAAAGAGCCCCACCATGTCGACGATGTTCCTCTCGAACATGTTTATCGTCTCCTGGAAAAGGGGAAGAGCACGGTGAGCATGCGTATTGGACAGGAACCTGACTGCCCGAGCCTCAGAGCAAAGGCCGGCACCTCCTCTACTCACAGCTTCAGGACGAAGACGCCACACGGGCCTTCTCCGCAGATGTTGGTGCCCTGACCCTACTTCTCCCTCCTGACCTCTGACCCCAGCCCATTGCTCTCTGGCCATTCCAGTTCACTCACCGCCCCTTGAATAGTTACTGCGATGCTTTCTCCAGGCCTCTGCCTGTTCCCTCTGCCGGGAACACCTGTTCTGGTCTTAACGCCTCCACCGCCACCCCCAAGACACACACACACACACACACACACACACACACACACACAGCTAGTCTCCTTCCTCTGGCCTCCCAGTGGCATCACCTCCAGATGACAGGGAGGGTGTCAGTAAGATCCGGACTGCCCGCATCAGCATCCCTGCTCCATTGTATGTAACTCTGGGAATGTCATTTAACCTCCCTGGGCCTCAGCTTCCTCATCTATGAAATGGGTTTCCTTTGTAGTACCTGTCTCATGGAGTTGTGGTGAAGCTTAAATAGGTTACTTCACACAAAATGCTTTGCACGGTGCCTGGCAGAGAGGAACCCTCAGTGATCCTGGCTGTTCCCTTCCCCCATCCGTGCCCTGAGGGAACCCCTGCATTGCTGCACCCGGTGCTCATCAGGGCCCCCGGCCTAACCGGGGTTTCATGTTGATTGCGGGAACAATGGCAGATGAAGCAGGGTGAAGCCTGCGACCCTAGCAGCCCAGGACTGGCCACACCCTCAATCCGCATAGACTAGGGCTCCCAGGGGCAGGGAGCCTCCAGGAGCCTGGGGACGGGCTGCAGGCCGAGACATTGCACACGCTCCAAACGTGTGTGAACACTGCTGCAGGGAAGCACATAGGGTCACTGAAAAGCTCCACAGTAGTTACAGCCTTTCAGGCGCTGTGCACGGGTCTGATGACACCACCAGCATGACACGCCTGGGCTCTGGGAACCCTGGCACGTTGGGAGCCGCTGCCTAAGATGCCCTGAGGCTCGGGGTCTGTGGGCAGCGTCTGCTCTGCGAGGTGGGAATCTCTCCGAGTCCGAGGTGCCACGGGCAGGGGAGGCATTGGTCAGGGACTATCTCTTGGCCCAGCCATGGCAGCATCCAATGAGGTTCCATTCATCACAGCCCCTCCGACTCGCAGACAGCCTGTGAACACGCCTGTCACTGGGGGCGAGGTGTGGGGTGTCGATAGCAGCACTTTCCGGGTCCACATTTAGTGCGGAATCGCAGGCGCCAGCATGGCCAGCACTGCAGGCTGAGGGGCAGGGAGCCTTCCTTCCCCCCCGTGGGGGCCACCTTGCTCCCTGAGCACCGGCAGCTCCTTGGTCTAATCAAAACCCTCTCCCGAGGCTCTGGCCCTTCCAGGGTGGGTGGGGCTTCCAGAGGAATGAGCCACCCTGCTGCTGCGAGAACCGCTTCAGTGTAGGGGGTGGGGGGAGGGGGGGGAACGCAGTAAAAGCGAACAGGGCCGGCGAGCAGGAAGCGGCAGCACCAGCCCCCTGGGATGAACCGGCGGCGCTCACACATGGCTCCTGCCAGGGCCCCGCGCACCTCCAGCTGCTCCACCAGCTGCATCTCCAGCGTCATGAGCACGTTGGACAGCTCGGTGATGTCCTCGCTGTACGCCACGATCCTCGCCTCCATGCTGGCCAGGTCGGCCTCGTCGCGGATGGCATTCAGACTCTGGAGACGAGAGCCTGCGTTAGGCGTCACAGCTAAGTGGACGTAGTGGCGGCGACAATGTGGTTTTGTGGGTAGGAATGGGACCCTGGGTTTGGACTGCCCCCACTCAGGGGTAGCTAAGCCTCATGTCAGCGCCTGAGCCTGTAGCAGCCGCGCCCTGTCCGTCCGCACGCGGGGGGCTGGCCCAGCACTACCAGCTGGGCTCTCAGCACAGGGGGTGGCTGGGCGGGCTGCTCCCATCGCAGTGGCGCTGGGCCCATGAGCGCTGGGGCACACAGGCAGGGAGAGACCCGCAAACATGTGACAGGTCCGGCCTGAGGGAGCCCGTCAGACCCCCCAGGACCCAGCGCCAGGGGGTGCGGGTAGCGGACAGGCCGGTGCTCGGGCGGGAGGTGCTCGGCCGGGAGGCACCATGTCAGCTTGTTTCTGCTGATACTCGGTGTTAGTTGTAAAGGAAGAGAAACTGGACACGATTTGAGGTGAATGTCTCTAACAAGGGCTCCCCCATCTGGAGAAAAATCAGGTTCAATGCCTATCTCAAGTGTTACATGAAAATAAATTCTGGACAGAGGAAGATTTAAATGTAAAAATTAGAGCCATACAAGTACTAGAAAATATTGGGGGATTTTAAATAAATAATCTCAAAGTGGAGAAGTCTTTTCTAAGTACAGGCAGAAGAAAAGACTGATAAAGTCTATCACATAAACATTTTTAATATTCTGAATGTAAATACACCAGAGACAAAGTAACAAGATAAACAGCAAACTGGGAAAATGTTGGCAACTTATTTCACTGACACAGGGCTAATTTCTCAATCTACAAAGTGCTCCTACAGAATAATAATGAAAATAAAAACAAAGAAAGAAAGGGGGAGAGAGAAACACCAAATGGAAAAATGGGTAAGGGCACAGTATTATGACAATAGTTCACAAATAAGAAATACAAATGTTGCCCGGCCGGCGTGGCTCAGGGTTTGAGCATCTACCTATGAACCAGGAGGTCATGGTTTGATTCTCCGTCAGGGCACATGCCCGGGTTGCAGGCTCGGTCCCAGTAGGGGGCGTGCAGGAGGCAGCCGATCAATGATTCTCTCTCAACATTGATGTTTCTCTCTCTCTCTCCCTCTCCCTACCCCTCTGAAATCAATAAAAACATGTTGAAAAAAATGAATAAAACCTAAGAGGGAAGGCAAAGGGGGGGGGGCGGGTAAGAGATCAACCAAAGGACTTGTATGCATGCGTATAAGCATAACCAATGGACACAGACAGT